CAGCAGGGGGCACTCACCCTGCGGTCCATGTGGGTCCTAATGCCCCAGTATAGTGACGGGGACACTATACTGTGAACAGGCGCCGTCCTTCGGATGAGAAGTTAAACCGAGGTCCTGACTCTCTGTGGTCATTAAAAATCCCAGGTCGTTTTTCGAAAAGAGTAGGGGTGTAACCCCGGTGTCCTGGTCAAATTTCCCATTGGCCCTTACCAATCATGGCCTCCTAATAATCCCCATCTCTGAACTGGCTTCATCACTCTGCTCTCCTCCCCACTGATAGCTGGTGTGTGGTGAGCGTTCTGGTGCACTATGGCTGCCGTTGCATCATCCAGGTGGGGCTGCACATTGGTGGTGGTGGAGGGGAACCCCATTACCTGAAAAGCGCTTTGAGTGGAGTGTCCAGAAAAGCGCTATATAAGTGTAAGCAATTATTATAATTATAAATGACAACAGCGGGGATTTGAGTGCTTCACGATTTGTGAAAAGTTCTACGACGCTGTCAAAATCTCATGTTCTGGCGAGGAGGGCCTCCACTGCTGGTGCTCCTAAACTGCTAGTCGATCTTGACACTTCGTCGACTGCAAAACGTTTTTTGCTCTGGCCAGAGTGCTGAATGAACGTGTCGCTTACGCGACAGGAACCGGAGGTGTGCAGAAGAGTCGCAGAGTTAGGGTTGTGTCTGGGAACAGTGTCGATTTTCATGTGCTGTTTAATAATCCTAGGGGTGTCGGAGATGAGTGCCCCAGCATTGGCAAGGTGAATGGTTCTCAGGTGTTCACGTTCGCTCACTAACTCTTCTGATACGTCAACGCCGTATTTCTCAACAAGTATTCTGGCCTGGCCGGGCCCCTTCAGAGACCCACGGTGTAACGGCAGCATTCTTTCTGGACTCTATGTAGACAACACAATCCGGGGATAAGTGAGGAAAACACGGGGGAAAAGGCATGCAGGAGACGGGAATGAAAACGGGGCGTGTCCATGGTGCGCTGGAGTTCAGGGGAAGGTGTGGCCGAGGCAAACAGTCCAGAGATGAGTCCAGAGAGGAGTCCAAAAGGGGAATCCAAAAGGGGGCAAAAGTCCAAAGCCGGGCAGTCCATCCAAGACAGACGAGATTAAAACAAGAACCGGGTCAGGACCGGCACGGGAATGGGAACAGGAACAGGAACCTTGACGGGACCTGGCGCTTCCAGGTCCTGGACTCGCCTGGTACAGGACCCGATGCAGAGCCCGGAACAGAGTAGAGATCTGGCTTTTAAAGGGGGCTGGAACAGGGAGCAGGTGCGGGAGATGAGTGAAAAACAAGGAAGGGCTGGAGCGCCCTTAAGAGGAGGGGTTTACGATTGTGACACAGGGGCCCCGGGTCACGCACTCCCCCCTCGAATTCTGCAGCATAATCTATGTACTGGACCAGGAATCTTGTTAAATGTGAGAAACGGGGCGGAGCGGTGGCTCTGTGGCTCAGGATCTGCGCCTGTGGCTGGAAGGTTGCCGGTTCAAATCCTGCAGCTGGCAGAGGAATCCTACTCCATTGGGCTCCTGAGCAAGGCCCTTAACCCCAACTGCTCCAGGGGTGCCGTACAATGGCTGACCCTGCGCTCTGACCCCCAGCTTCTCTCCCTGTCTGTGTGTCTCATGGAGAGCAAGCTGGGGTTGGTGAAAAGACAAATTCCTAATGCAAGCAATTGTAAAGGGTGAATAAAGTGATGTTATACACAATGAGTGGAAGAAGCAGGGACAGCTGGGTGCAGTGATGTGACCTGGGCTGCGAGAGAGATGGCCAGCCTTCAAGCAGCTGACACGGGCCTGGGAAAGCTTTTATCAAGCTGTCAGCCACACGCAAGGGACCGCCACGCCTCCTGGTATTATATTTCCATGTTTCAAGGTTTCGACATCCATGACAGGTGTCACGGTTCCCTGTTTACAGAAAAAAATCTGGACTTTCTAGCTCCTGACAAAGGAGCGATTCAGAAGGAGAATTGAGACAAATTGCTCACCTGAGGAGTCTGTGTTGGGCAAGTCATGATTTGGGCTACTTCCAATTTCCAAGGCAACGCAGACAATAAATACCTCCAGCACAAGCTGAGGCAGCCCTGAGCTGGGAAAGTGCAGAAAGACGTTTCTAAACGCCCCCTAAAAGCCGACATGAATGTGAGAGCAAAGCCAGACTCTGCACTGACACAAACATCAATTACAGGGTGATCCTTACAGCTTTGATATTCATCTACAGTTTCAATTCTAGAAGGAACCTGTATAATGAATATACAGTTGCAGACTAAATTGTAATGACTGGTTGGTAACTTATATTTAAAATAAAATCAGTGGCAAATAGTCACTATAATGATCAATAGTCAAACAGTCTCTCTCCAAAGTCGATCATTCTTTCAGATAACTGAGATTGTAAGATATTTTTCCTGTTTCTTAGTTCTCTTTCTTCTTTTTTTCAGGTGTTCTTGCTACAGTCTCATTTCTCCAGGTTGAGAGCATTGCTGTGTGACAGTGGTGACTTGTTTTACTAACAGTTCTCCAAGTGAAAACTACAAAAACACATCCACGTTTTATAGATTATTAAAGACTCCTGGTCAGCTTTGTACTACATCACCAAAATGCCTGAACCACCCAGCCAGTAATGTTTGGGCTTGCTTCGTTTGTCCTTGACACTGTGTACACACAGAGAAGTATGTGGAATTTTTAATTCATTCATTTAATTCATTTTTAATGCATTCAGTTCCTTCTGCATAGACATAAATACCTGGAGACCAGACTTTAGAAGCTTTGAGAAATATATGAATATGGCGAAAATGTGCTTCATGCAGAACAAAACTTTTAGAATCAGAAGGGCAGGTTGCTTCAGTCTCAGAGGTGCTGCAGCCCAGGACAGCAAGCGCTGAGCAGGGGTGTGCCGGCTGTTCCTCAGAGGTCAGATAAGGTATGTTAGAGCTGGCTGCACCCTGCACACACCTCCCTCTGTCATCTCCCCAGGGGTCAAGGTTCAGTCCCTACAGGCAGTCAAAGCCTCCTTATCAGATGGCGTTTGATGTTTAGGATTTTGTATTTTGGGGCTGAGTAGGGGAGAAATGGGGGTTGGTGAGGAGAAACAGGAATCTGGAAATTCTGATAGATTGAAATATACAGATCGTTTTCCTGCAGCTCCCTATTCGTTTCCTGCCCTGCTCAGGAACAAGCCGGCTGGGCTCCCCTGCCCGAACAGGTCCCTGAACTTTGGGATGATGGGATTAGTAGATTAATTATCTAGTGAACAGGGCCAAGATTGCTCATTTGAAAAATGTCCGTTTCAACTACCCCATTTGGAGAAATGACTCTGCTACACTTTTGCACTACTCAGAATATTTGTTTTCTAATATTTCATTTCATTATTTGAGTTATTAAATGCACAACCACAAAAGGAAACATTTTTCTATTATTATTTTGGTAACAGACACCCGAATTGCTGGTGTGTATAATCTAACTAAAGTATACGAGTAAACTAAACAGATAAAAAGGCACAGGAAACAGAGTACATACCAAGCTGACTACACACCTGGGGAAAGACAAGCCTAGCAGCAGCAGAGATGTGCAGGTGCCCAGCAGTGAGGTATTACAGTCTAATTACAAGGCCAGTCTATGGGGGGGGGGGGGACATTTGGACACAACATGGTCAATCACAGCGTGACTGTTTATAGATACAGTATCAGCGCAAGGGAGAAGTTCTTCCTGCGGTTTCTCACATGCCTGTAGATGGACGTTGCTGGATGGGAGCACTAGGGTGGGACACGCTCCAGTGAGATGACTCGTCTCGTTAAGATGGGGTACTTCTCGAAACTTCCCAGGGCGTTTCTCGAAAAGAGTAGGGGTGTAACCCCTCGGCGTCCTGGCCAAATTTCCCATTGGCCCTTACCAATCATGGCCTCCTAATAATCCCCATCTCTGAACTGGCTTCATCACTCTGCTCTCCTCCCCACTGAGAGCTGGTGTGTGGGGAGCGTTCTGGCGCACTATGGCTGCCGTCGCATCATCCAGGTGGGGCTGCACACTGGTGGTGGTGGAGGGGATCCCCATGACCTCTAAAGCGCTTTGAGTGGAGTGTCCAGAAAAGCGCTATATAAGTGTAAGCAGTTATTATTATTACTTCTCGTTAAGACGAGGCAGAAGAGACAGGAATTGTGAACTTGTTTCTCTTGCTCTGTCTGTGAACAGCAGGAGAGAGCCCAGGTTAAGCCCTGTGTTGAGGTGGGGGTAGGGTGGTGTGGGGCACAGAGTCCAACACTCTCTGAGCCTCCTGTACAGTTCGCCGTGCCGCTAAATTACAAAGCTCCGAAATGAGGGCAAAACACTTAAACTGCCCATGGTGGCCGAATCTTGGTGGTGTGCACACGAGGGGATTGTGTTGTCTGATACAGACCAACTGTAAATTGGAATAAGTAGGTATGGCCTGTATTTAAAATGTGTTTTTCTATTGTACATCCAGAGCAATAGCATGAACAACCTGTATCGGTCAGTACAACCAGAGACTTCCTTCCAGCCACCATGAGGTGTGGGTTGGTGGCCCCCAATGCAGAGTTTCAGAACAAATAGCAGCTCTAAACAGATGTTCATCAAAACACAAGGCTGAAGCTGAGACGGAATGGGGAAGACCACCTCCCTTTTTGGAAAAGAAATCTGTTCATGTCTGCCTGTGTCCATGTCATGTCCAGCCCCAAAAAAAGGAAATCCAGATTCTCGAATTGAAATATACAGATCGTTCTCCTGTGGCTCCCTGGTCTCTCTCTGCTCTGCCAGGGGCGCCTCGTTCCCAGACCGCGGTGCTCCTGGGCGTGGAGAGATTTTACAGCCTGCGGGGACGCAGCGCCGTGTTTGGATAAGGAGGGACCCACGCCCAGCGCTCGCAGGCTCGGGAGCCGGAGAGCAGGTCTTCCTGGTGTTCGCTGTTCGACAGGGCGCAATGCAGAGCAGGCGAAAAAAACAGAAGAGCTGGCAGGCAGGCACAAGCATATCTCTCCAGTTCTCTCATTGGGCAAGAAACTAATCCGGATCATTTAAGAAACATTCCAGCAGGTCGCCCCGCCTCTGCCGAGCACTCTGCAGCCCCCCCCAGGATCCGAGACGGGAGGAGGACTGTTGCCCAGCGGCCTCCCCTCCACACCCAGTGCGCACTATATCAGGGGGAGGCGGACAGGGCTGCACTGCAGTCTCCTGAATCTCCAGGCTCAGGTGCTCCAGTAGCGGTTCAGGGATTCGGCAGCTCTTCCTCTCCTCCTCACCAGCAGCATGTCCATGTACAGAATGAGCAGTGGCCCGCGCTCCAGCACGGTGACCACCAAGCGGGTCAGCATGGTGTCCTCCGCGCCCAAGGCCCTCAGCATGTACGGAGGCCTGGGGGACAGGGCCCGCATCTCCGCCTCCTCTGCCCGCTCCGTGTCCTCGGGATTCGGAGCAGGCTACGGGAGCGCGGGAGGGGGCTTCGGTTCCGGAGGCAGCTTCGGCTTTGGAGGAGGCTTCAGTTCAGGTGGCGGCTACGGTTCTGGTGGCGGCTACGGTTCTGGTGGCGGCTACGGTTCTGGAGGCGGCTTCAGCCTGTCCAACTCCCGGGACTCCGACCCGGTGTCTCTGAACGAGAAGGCCACCATGCAGAACCTGAACGACCGCCTGGCCAGCTACCTGGATAAGGTGCGCTCGCTGGAGGCCGCCAACGGCGAGCTGGAGCTGAAGATCCGGGAGTTCTACGAGAAGAAGGGACCCGCTGCCGAGCGTGACTACAGCCCCTACTGGAAGACCATCAACGACCTGAAAGACAAGGTAACTCACCTGGGCTCCCTGCCCCTCCTGGGTCAGTGCACCATCATACTGCATGCTCTGATAGGTACAACCATGCTGTGACTATGACTAACGTCTGCCTGTTGTTGTGACCTTCTTTGTGGAAGCATGGTTGTCCTGTGATGGATACATCACAGCCACACTTGTTATCATAGGATGCCCACAACTGTCTTTAGTGACCTTTAGTTGTGAGGCTGACAGAGCTGTGTTGAAGGGAGGCAAGCACTGCACTGCATGGACAGGGTGAGAACAGGGACAGAGAGCAAAAGGCTCAACCTGTTTTTATTGTGAGGGAATGATATTATGCTTTAAACCAGAGTTACAATGTCATGTGTCTTACAAAACATGGCATGTTTACAAAAGGGCAAAACATTTCTATAAAAATGCCTCGGTTGAACTTAAACAAGAGAGGAAAAGCGAAGAGGAGAAAGGAAAGGTAGTAAAGTATTCTGCCCTGTGCGTATCTGAGGGATCATCAGGCTGATGCAGCAGGTGTGGCAGGTAGAGATCTCCTACTGCACCTGTCTGGTGTTTCTGATGCTCCAGGCTACAATGTTGTGGATGTGCAGTAGAGGCAGGTGTACAGTCAGGTTCTGAGCATTGACTGCTCTAGCCAGTTATCAGCACAATGTTTCTGCTTCTCTCAAGAGCATAAATTCTCACTACATGATCTTCTGAGAGCACCAGTCACTGAAACAGTCACACTTCAGATACAGCATCCGAAGAGCAAGCACCACTTCCTAAAGCAGTTTGCACAAGTAAACATCACGAGAGAAACTCTTAACAGTCCTGACGGGTCTGAATAAAAGTCAAGGGCTTAATTTATTTTATAAGATATATAAACTTGCACCACAGGCTCCTAGAACAGGAGAGGACAAAAGGAACAAACACACAGATCAGTAAATGCAGGTGTGTTTCTGTGACAGATAGGCTAGGGAAAGAAAAGATCAGCCCCACCTCTGTTGACTTTGACCTGAGTGCAGGAACCTGGCCAAAACTCTGCTGGCACTGAGCTCACAGAGGCTGCAGAGCCCAGTCTGGGTGTTATCACCTGGGTGTTACCCACTGTCTGTCCTGTGTGTGCTGTCCCGAGCACCAGGAATGGGCTGTAGCTCTTCTCCATCCAACATGAAGGTTATCTTTCCTGCTTCTGTTCCAGATCGCCGATGCCACCATCGACAATGCCAAGATCCTCCTGCAGATTGACAACTCCAAGCTGGCAGCTGACGACTTCAGGACCAAGTAAGGACAGTTTTGCATTTCTCTCTCTAGAGAGAATAAACTCATACAAGTTATTTCCCTGAAATCAATGCAAATGATTTGGATTTGTGAGAGATTTTCTTATCTGTGTGAGGCTGAAGACACCACTTGTATCCAGTTGAGCTTCCACTAGTGTTTTCTAGCAGATGTGAGTGCGAACGAAGATGAACTTCCACTAAGGGAGACACATGTGGTAGACAACCACCTTGATTCTACATATGGTTCCATAGCTGTCTGGATACTAGGATACAGAAGGGTTCATTTCTGTAATTATTGGAAAGTTTGAGGTAGATCTTTCCTGTTAATAATTCCGGAAGAGCAACCCATTTGGGTCCTGTAGGAGAAAGCTACTATCTACACCTTGTTGATAAAGCCAGACCAACCCAAAACCTCCTCAGATCCCCAGATTCCAGTTTCCCAACCCAGTATTGTCCCAGCATGTCCCTGCAGAATCCTAGGGCACAGATCCTATAGGTTACGCCAACCACACCACGCCCTGCCCCCCCAACCCTGTCCTCACATCTCGCCCCCCCTGTCCTGCACAGGTACGAGCACGAGCTCATGATGAGGCAGTCGGTGGAGGCTGACATCGCCAACCTGCGCCGCCTGCTGGACCAGACCACCCTCACCAAGGCTGACCTGGAGATGCAGATCGAGAGCCTGAAGGATGAGCTGGCCTACCTCAGGAAGAACCACGAGGAGGTACGCCCGGCGCCCCAACCCCACCCAGCAGTATCAAACACGCAGTAATACCAAGCTTCCACTGAGGGAGACGTCTCACTTTGACCCTGTTCAGTCTGGGAGCCTGTTTCTCCAAAGGCACAGGACTGATGTGGTTTTGCTCGTATTATTTCTTAGCTGTTTTTAAATAAGTGTGTTGTATCTGAAGGTCAGCCTCAAGAATGGACCCAGGGCTCTGTGCAAGATAAAGCAACAGGTGGCTCTGGGCTCTTGTTATCATCCTCTCTCTCTTCCCACACGTGTTTCAATGTCCCTGTGTCCCCGTGTCCCCCAGGAGCTGGCAGCGATGCGCTCTCAGCTGGGCGGCACAGTCAACGTGGAGGTGGACGCGGCGCCACAGCAGGACCTGAACAAGGTGCTGGATGAGATCCGGGCGCAGTACGAGGGCATCGCCGAGAAGAGTCGCCGGGACGCCGAGGCCTGGTTCACCGATAAGGTACGGCTGGCCGATTTGTCTGGTTCCCTGCCGCCGTCCACCCCCCTGTACCAGTTAACAGAGCCGAACTGGGCTCTGAAGAAGAAGAGACTTCACGCTGGGACCTCTCTGTCTATCTCACTGTAACTGCCGGTCCAACTTTGAGCAAGAACCATGAACACTCAACAAGCTTGACGCTCTTTGTCCATCTCAGGTCCAGCCAGACTTGCACTTTGCTGCAAATGTCCTGCTTTCCTGTCTGCACCAGCCCCTGCCTTGCCTCCCCCTGTCACACTCAACAGCAGGGGGCACCACTGACCTCGTGTTTTCCATTCCAGTCGGCCGCCCTGTCCAAGGAGGTGGCGCAGAGCACAGAGGTCATCCAGACCACCAAGACAGAGATCACCGACCTGAGGCGCACTCTGCAGGGCCTGGAGGTCGAGCTGCAGTCACAGCTCAGCATGGTGAGTGAGAGAGGAGCTGCCCATGCGGTGCATGACAAAATAAGACAGTTTTGAGACAATCTTGTACTGAAACTATAAAACGTCAGTGCAATGGCTGTGTGCTTAAAGCAGTGCATAGAAAGAACAGTGGTCAGTTCATTCACAGACTTTACTTCTACAGTGACTTTGAAACACTTCTCACTTGTTATGGGACTGCTAGGAAACTTAGATGCACAACTTGGAAAACCAAGCCTGAATTTGGAGACTAGTTTTAGGTGTGGGGTCAAGTTCAAGGTTAGTGCCAGGTTTAGGGCTGGATTCCTTGACTCTCAGGGTACACACGGGTGATGACCATGACCAGTGACCCCTACTGTCTCTCCCCCTGCAGAAACAAGCGATGGAGAACACGCTGGGAGAGACAGAGGGGCGCTACAGCAACATGCTGGCCAGCTACCAGAACACCATCAACATGCTGGAGACGGAGCTGGGGCAGGTGCGCGTGGACACCGAGCGGCAGTCCAGCGAGTACCAGCTGCTGCTGGACATCAAGTCACGGCTGGAGCAGGAGATCGCCACCTACCGCAAGCTGCTGGAGACCGAGGAGACCAGGTAAGATTAAGATCAGATCACTTTATTGGCCATACAATTTCTTGCATTAGGAATTTGTCTTTTTGCAGAGCCCAACTTGCTCTCCGTGAGACACACAGACAGGGAGAGAAGCTTGGGGTTAGAGCACAGGGTCAGCCATTTATTCGGCACCCCTGGAGCAGTTGGGGTTAAGGGCCTTGCTCAGGGGCCCAACTGAATAGGATTCCTCTGCCGGCTGCGGGATTTGAACCAACAGCCTTCCAGCCACAGGCGCAGATCCTTAGTCACAGTGCCACTGCTCTTGCCAGCAGGCAAGAACAGTGCCACCCTGTGCCAACAAGCTCGACCTTCTCCTCCCTCGCTCTCCCTCCCTCTCTGTATCTATCTCCATCGCACTTTTCACTCTGAGTCTGCAGCTTGGTGTTTTGCACCCCAACACATGACCGAATCCTACCCTGACACCTTTTTCTCCTTCTTTTTTTTTGTTTAGGACTTCTTCTGGAAAGGGTGAGTGATCTTTTCACCAATGTACTTGGTTTTTTAATTAACACAGTCAAAAAAAAGTTTATGTGCATGTTCCAGCTACTTGCCTAGATATCCCTGGAGCTGAATGCATGGCTCTGAATGTAAATTAAATCATAGAGAAGACATTCTGTGCAACTGAGCTCTTCTGAGGCTCTTCCAAAAGTCGGGGATTTATTTAAAGGTTGAAACTAAATAAATCAAGAAGTGATTTAGCATTAAATCATGAGAACTGCTGCTCATGATCCACAGACTGCTGACGGGTTCCAGCATGCTTTGTAAGAAATGGCACAAGGTAGCAAGATGCACAGCTGTTTGTGTGACACGAGTGTGGGGAGCAAATTGCAAAGATCTGAAAGACTTTCCTCTTCCTCCCACACAGAGGGAAGTGTAACAACAACGACTGTCACCACCCGCACCTAAAGCCTGGGACAGACGTGAGACAGATCAGCACTCAGCACTGCAGAGACAGACAGCAGCAATCCCCCAACTCGGCCCCCCTCCTTCTGCCTGACACCCATCCCTGGAAACCAACAGCGTCCCCCTCTGCTCCACGCCTGTGTCCGCACGAGAAAACACGAGTCCGGCCGGACCCTCCTCTCTCTCGGGGAGAGGTGGAGGCAAACTTCGATGACAGCTCGGGCTCGGGGTCCCTCAGTTCCAGCGCGGGGTGATCAAGACCACGCCCCCAGTTCAGGCCACCCCGAGAGGCCAGACCGGACACTGCCGGTCTCCACACTGCTCCCCTCCCAGCTTCTCCCTCCCTGTGTAAACTCCCTGTCTCTGAAAATAAAGTTTTGGTTGTGAAAAATAGAAAGCAGCTGCTTTGTGCTTTTTCTCTAATGTTGGGAAGGTGGTAAACTGCTGGTGAAGACCAGAGGGGTAATAATAATTATAATAATTGCTTACACTTATATAGCACTTTTCTGGACACTCCACTCAAAGCGCTTTACAGTTATTGGGGATCCCCTCCACCACCACCAGTGTGCAGCCCCACCTGGATGATGCGATGGCAGCCATAGTGCACCAGAACGCTCCCCACACACCAGCTCTCAGTGGGGAGGAGAGCAGAGTTATGAAGTCAGTTCATAGAGGGGGATTATTAGGAGGCCATGATTGGTAAGGGCCAATGGGAAATTTGGCCAGGACGCCCAACTCTTTTCTGGGATTTTTAATGACCACAGAGAGTCAGGACCTCGTTTTTACGTCTCATCCGAAGGACGGCGCCTGTTTACAGTATAGTGTCCCCGTCACTATACTGGGGCATTAGAATCCCCTGCTGGCTCCACTAACACCTCTTCCAGCAGCAACCTCAGTTTTCCCAGGAGTCTCACATCCAGGTACTGACCAGGCTCACACCTGCTGAGCTCCAGTGGGCTGCCAGCTGGGAGTTGCAGAGTGATATGGTGCAGTGGGGAGCCCTGAGAAAGCAAGAGCAATGCAGTGAACTTGCACCATGCAGGCTCACGGGCATCAGGATGCAGAGAGAACGGTCTGAGCAGGAGGTCAGCAGAGCTCAGCTGAGCCTCTCAGCTGGGAATACAGTTCCAGTTCACTTCAGTCTCTGCTTTGCCCATCCACCTTGCGTTTAGCATCCAAGAAGCTGTATCAACCCTCTGCCTCACCTTGTTTAAAGACGCTGGACTTCAGTAATAAGTCCTTGTGAGCACAGTGTTACTCAGCGACAATATAGCTGAACCCTTTGAGCCTGGAAAGGCTTGGGCTTTGAGCCAAGACCTCACAGCACTTCTGGCTCGCTGAGTAAATATTGACAGGAGCTGAGCAAACACCTCAGCCTTTCTCTCAGTCATCCCACCTACCCACCCACTTACCCCTTTGTCCTACAGCTATCAGGCAGCTCCATTACTCTCCAAAGAACAGCAGTGAGAGTTCAGAGTTCAGGATTCCTTGCCTGCTGGCAGGGAGCACAAAGCCACTTGTTACTACAGTAGGAGCCCACCGAGCTGCACCCTGACACACCCCCTGAAGCGCAGGAGGGTGACTCAGACAGCGGGGTCTCACCGCACCCCAGCGTGGGGGATGGGGGGTGTGCGCCGAGGTGCTGCAGCTGCACCATGTGCTGGGGTTAGAACACGTCAGAAGCAGACAGTGGCCTCGCTGTGTGGCTACTGAGGCTCCCGATGCCCCTGACGAAGAGAAAAACAACTTCTCTCTGCAAATCCAACCCCACTTTAATCATCCTGTCTCTGTCAAGGCTGCGTGTCAGGACAACAACAGCTGCCTGAATTAGCAGAACGGCCTCATATGAAAGTAGAAAAGACATTCCTGTTGGATTACTAGCACACAGAGGCCTTCTGTTGTGGGTGAGATTTTTATTCAAGCCTTCATTTACTCCAGAGCTAATGAAATCATAATTCCTGCACTAGCAAAAGTGCAGAGCCCTTTTTTGATCTCCTCTGTTGCGTTGTTAGTTTTTAAATATTATTCCGTTGCAGGCTGTAGATTCTGGCTTCTAAAATTTCAGCCCTAAGCCATGTTTACCCTGTTTTGCACTGAGGTAAAAAGTGAACCAGGTGTGGTGAAGAATGAATGCACAGTCACACAGAGAGGTGCCAGCAGGGTGCTCACATGGTCCAGTCCTGGGGCTTCCTGCACGTCTCCACTGGCCTGTTCGTACAGGCGATGTCTCAGCCAGGCCCTGAGACACACACAGGGCAGGAACTGGGCAAGGACCCAGCACCTCCGTCAGAGTTTTAAGATAGAGATGAATTAAAAAGCTCACAGTGCAGCCGACAAGACCTGACTGGAACCTCCTCTTCAGAGCTGTGAGCAGCACTTCCACCCCGAATGAGTTCAGTCCCAGACAGCGCAACAAGTCCTCTCTCGCTCGCGAGGTTAGGTCATGCCAAATGAGCGAACTCTTCCGATCCAGTAAAAAACCAAAAACAAAAAAATCAAACTTCGCCAGGTTTGAAAATCTCAAGATTATTTCTGCTGGAACTGATTAAATAAAAAAACAACAATATTGTTTTACAACTTCCCAGACACAGATATAGAGTTCTTGGAATCGCGGTATTGGGTGTTTCCCTGGAATCTTCTCTCACACCACAACACTGACAACACTGTTTACCTAACGAGGGTTTGGAAGAGATGGGTTGTTCTGCATTTCCAAACATCTGTAAGGTCAAATCACAGCATTAGTCCAAAACACAGCCAAGCCGTTAAAGCTGTAGAAATACAATGTGAATGCAGGATACAAAATAATATAAAACCTGCATAGGTTCAACATAATCCTGCAAATGTGGCTATTGAAACTTTATTTCAAGAGGGGAGCACATGGGCCAGCAGCCATATCTCTCTGCAAATCACAACTGGCAGCCCACTGGAGCTCAGCAGGTGTGAGCCTGGTCAGTACCTGGATGGGAGACTCCTGGGAAAACTGAGGTTGCTGCTGGAAGAGGTGTTAGTGGGGCCAGCAGGGGGCGCTCACCCTGAGGTCCATGTGGGTCCTAATGCCTCAGTATAGTGACGGGGACACTATACTGTAAACAGGCACCGTCTTTCGGATGAGAGGTAAAACCGAGGTCCTGACTCTCTGTGGTCATTAAAAATCCCAGGGCGTTTCTCGAAAAGAGTAGGGGTGTAACCCTGGCATCCTGGCCAAATTCCTGGTGTTTCTCAAAAAGAGTTGGGCGTCCTGGCCAAAGTTCCCATTGGCCCTTACCAATCATGGCCTCCTAATAATCCCCATCTCTGAACTGGCTTCATCACTCTGCTCTCCTCCCCACTGAGAGCTGGTGTGTGGGGAGCGTTCTGGTGCACTATGGCTGCCGTCGCATCATCCAGGTGGGGCTGCACACTGGGGGTGGTGGAGGGGATCCCCATGACCTGTAAAGCGCTTTGAGTGGAGTGGCCAGAAAAGCGCTATATAAATGTAAGCTATTATTAAGAGAGGGAGCAGAGTTGTCCAGTCTCATCAGTAGAAACAGAAACTCTTTAACTACTGGGCAGGTGAGTCGTCTCCCACCTACAGGCCCGGGGGGCTCATTTGGCCCAAGAGGGGCTGGAACCAGGATTGCCAGTGGACTAACAGAGTGGACCACACACTGTGGGCACAGACTCGTCCCAGGCACTCACTTTCACGTGGCACAGAGGGACAGGGGAGTGAAAAAGCTGCTCTCAAATAAAATTAACAGATTAGCAATAAAAGGTGAACCTCAAGGCAATAAAAAAGGTGCAGCTGCCTCATTAACCTCAGCCAGAGAGCAGCTCAGAAATCCCAGCAGCCCACAGTACAAGAGCAGATAAGCAGGATGAAGCAGAATTAGCCCTGAGAAATCACTGAGAGCCATGGGCCTGGTTTCACAGGAAGGGGTGAGGCTGCTCATTCAAGGCTGAGTAGAAACAGGCTCTGGGAAGCTATCATTGGCAAGATTAAAACCCTGAGATTGAACCACGCACAGGAAGGTATTCAAAGAGATTTTTTTTTCATTGGGAATAACATTTTCTGTAGATCAGGGTCTGTGTTGGTCTAGAGCTGGGGTCCCCTGTGCCGTCACTGGCACCTGTCCCCTGTGCCTGTCGTCTTCTTGTCTTGTCTGTGTAGAAACCAAGAGATTCGAGCCTGAAGTGTCCGTTCGTCAAGCCAAGCTTTATTGTATGCATACAAGGAACCACAATAAGGACCATAGTATAGTATTTATAGTAGCTCATAGGGGACATGGCTTCACACAGTTTATATATACTTTTTTCTACACCCACCCCCCCCCCTCCTGTCTTTGAGGTAGCTTTCTCCAGGACTCAGAAAGCACTTAAACATTCCTCTCTTATCAGGGAGTTTAGCATAAACATTCCATCATCATCAGGAGTTTCAGTACAGAAGATGGGGGATGGGGTTCAGTACAGGGAGGGAGAAGCATCTGTGCTCAAGCAAGCGTGAAGGTTAGAGCGTAGCATGTGAATTCAGCAGGAGTTCACAGCTCCTACCACTATATGGGTACAGAGTAACATACAGATTCTGCTAGCAGATTCCATCATCTGTAAACCAGCACTGACCTGATCGGTTGCACTGATTTAATCTCCTTAAATCCCAGCTGGACAGGGGATCTCTCTTTTGAGTTTCACTCCATACAGCTGCTGGGGTACACTTCTGCTCTCCCCTGGCCTGCGAATCGTCACTCCACCTGCTCCTTAAGTTTTTCATGCAGAGGTCTCTACTCTACATCAGTGATAGGTCACCCTGAATGACCACATTCTAAACACGGGAGGTCAGGGTGGCACAGTGATCCACTGGTCAGCATTGCTGCCTCACAGTGCTGGGGCCCTGGCTTCAATTCCAGAGCTGGGGTGCTGTCTGGATGGAGTTTGCATGTTCTCATGGGTGTCCTCCCACAATCCAGAGATACCCTGGTAGGTAAATTGGCTTCTGGGAAAATTGGCACTGGTATGAGCGTGCCCTGTGATGCACTGGTGTCCTGTCCCGTCCAGGGTGTCTTTTGCCTTACCATGTTAGAAAATGGAAGGATGGTGGTCAATTGAGAAAGTACAATGTTATGTGAACTATGTTGCATGAGAGATGAAGGAGTAGTCAGATTATTTGTGCCAATTTGTTCTCCTAATCACGTCATGTAGCAGATTGCGTCCTGATGACAATTAAGTTGTTCCAAGTCATCTGTAATGTAATTGTTACCTTTAATGGCTACCTATAAAGCATGCAGGACTCAAGCTCTTCAGGACCGGAGTGCCTTTGGAGATGCCTGATTTCAGTGACTCCCAAGAGCAGAGTCAGTCCGGTCACAAGCGGCCAATTAAATGATTAAAGTTGTGGTTGGACCAAAGACCCAAAGAGCCAAGGCC